ATTTACTTCTTGTTTTGTTAAATTCATGTTTATCTTACTGTACAGTGCCATGAGCTTCAGCGCTTTCCTTCATAATATTTCCATCCAGGATTGCTTGTTTTGTCATCAGTTCCACCTTCTCAGTTTCATGCTTTTCTACACCAACTGTAAAAGAAAATGCAGATATTCTAGGTGAGCAAGAGAGTAAGATCAGGACACAAGACCTAGAGGTGTTTTTCCTCCTGCTAATCCTTGTGCAGTCATTTGTCAGTGCTTAGGAACCTCCTTTAGGGCTGTGATTCCCTAAGGGGAAGGTGTCTAAAAACTCACCTGAAGGCAGCGTAAAGGCAATCTTGCTAGTGGTGGGCTTTTTGTCATCCTTTTGGTCAGGTATAGAGCAACGAAACCTGCAAAAAGAAATATTATTACAGTCATCTAATAATACTGCATTGCTTTAACCCAAAACTTGTCTTACAAACAGCTATGGCAAATTCTGTTCTGTTTCACTGTGATAACTATCTGTTAGGATTTCTCATTCTGAGGGTAGAACTGAAGAAATTTACTGAAAATATCTGTACAGTTTCATTATTTTCAGAGTTTTTTATCGTGTGCCAGGAAGAGTTATTTGATTTTATTAATACCGAAGTGTGTGTATTTTTACAGAGGTAGAAGAATTAAATTTGAAACTGGCTCCCCAGTCTGGATTCCTACACAAATGGGCGAGGTTCCTGGGCTTAAACCCTCTATTTTCTGTAGAAAGGACTGAGGGAGGCAATGATCACTGAAAAATTGCAGAATTGCATAATTGGTTTTATTCATATATCAGTGCTGAGTGCAAGAAGTGATATTTTGCCTTCTCTTTGTCCTCCCTGTTGTTCACGTTTGTATGGCTGCTTCTCTTGTGTGTCTACATGTCAAAATCCTGGTGTTTGCATAGCAGGGAAAGAAAAAAAAAAACAACCAAGGCAAAATGTCACTGCAGGGCATGATCCGAAAGAGCATCCCAGTATGCAGACCCTCCCAGGTGTGTGCCTGGATGCACTGTGAGCGATGCTCAGTACTGTGAACTCCACAGGCAAATGTCCAGCTGTCCTGTGGTGAGATGTGAACTGCCCAGAACATCACGTGTGTGGACTCGCTTCAAACAGAGCCCACGCCAGGCAGCTGATGGGACACACGGCCTACATCAACACACAGTGCCTCCAGTGAGAATGCAGAAGTGTCCCTTTACGTGCAGTGCATCTTGGAGGTACTCTGAGCTCCAGAAAGTGTGGAATCAAGTTACGATAACACCATTTCTAAGGATTTTATACTGCAATTTTTTAATGATTGATTCATATATTTACAATTATGATGATTATTTAAACAAGAAGTTCTGAAATGGAAGAGTAATGTGACTACTTCTCTAAACAACAAGTACCTGGCCTTTACCTGCAGTGCATCTTGGAGGTACTCTGAGCTCCAGAAAGTGTGGAATCAAGTTACGATAACACCATTTCTAAGGATTTTATACTGCAATTTTTTAATGATTGATTCATATATTTACAATTATGATGATTATTTAAACAAGAAGTTCTGAAATGGAAGAGTAATGTGACTACTTCTCTAAACAACAAGTACCTGTTCTCTTCTTGCTCAAGCAGACTGCGATATGTTGCTATCTCCTCCTCCAGTTTCATCCTTGTGTTCAGGAGAATTTCATGCTCTTGAAGCTGTTTCTCAATACTTCTTCTCACTTCCAGTAGCTCTTTCTCTAAGCATTCAATCTCAGCTTCTAGATTTTGTAGCTGCATGTGGTACTGCTGCTCTGTGGCACGCAACGAACGCTCCAAACCCTTTTCCTGTGAAATTTAACTCATATTTTAAGATCTGGAAAGTGTGTGTACATTATATGTATATTACTATAATATTTTAATTTCTTTT